AGCCGTGCTCCAAACACACTTTTAATAATCTTTTTCAATTTCCAAAGTAATCTAACTAGAGCACAAAAGTGATATATTTTTGTTAAAGGCGATCCGACCCTACGTTGTTGTTTGTTTCATACCTTCAACCCTTTTTCCATCCTGAGCATTTGACTCCCCAGATATCGAAAATTAGCGGCTTCCTGTTGTTTCTCCTCTCCAATTTCTATATTATTATAGCATTAACCTTACTTTTGCATCCCCTAAGTACCAATAATTTTGTTTTATTTTCTTTTGTTAATGCCGCTTGTATTTTACATAAATTCTATAATTCGCCCCTCCTAGATGCTTATACTGCTGTATCTTCCGCAAATTTAAGCATTCTAATCCGTATTTGCCGATTCATACAGTTGTCCTGTATTTAATAGCATTAATTGTATCTTCCATATTACAATTAAAAAGTAGCAATGAAAACGGGGAAATTTTTTTTACCTGCCTTGCTAATATTTACTACCTTACGATGTTTTCAAATTGTAAAACTAACTTGAACATCTTAGAGATTTGTTTTAGGCAACACTTATTACAAGACAATTTGAAAACATCGTTTATCAAATCGATGCTACCTGATCAAAAGCGTATCAAGAATTTTATCGACAAACAGAAGTACCTTGAAGATAACTTTATAACGAGTTTCTAACATGATATCTGCAGTATCTGTATCAGAAGCAGAGATGAAAGAAATTGACTTAATTTTCATTACATTTTTCGTAGTAACGGTAACTTAGTGATATTAATTTAGTAGTCTAGATCAATTAAGAATTAATTTTAAGCTTTTTACAGGCTCACGTAACTAGTAATTGGTCTAAAGTTACACCTACTCATAAAATTGCTCCAACAGGACCTCATAAGCTTGCATTCTCCGAAGATATAAGGATTGTGGGAGGAAATGAAGCTTCGCCAAACTCCTTACCATATCAAGTAAGCATTCAAAATTATTTGATCAAAACTATCATACTGATCCCAAAAGTTTGATTAGCAAGGATCCAGAAAGGTTAAAATTTAGATGTAAAATGTACAGGATGTGAAATTCTGTGAGATATAGTATTTTAAAGAAATGGAATTTAATGGGACTGGAGATGCGAACGTACAGCGCGAATAAATTTGAATACCTTCAGGGCTATACTTCTGGTCTACACTAAAATATTTTTATTTATTTAGGTCTTTTTGAGGCTTATTTACGATACATACACGAGTTTCTGTGGAGCATCTCTTATATCTAGAAGATACGTGTTAACTGCTGCACATTGCTTGGTAGATGAGTAAGAAATTTGCTCTTAATTGTTATCTTAACTGCTCAATATACTTTAGCTTTTTCTTTTTCTTATTAGCCTTGTATCATTGGAAGTAATTCTGGGAGCGCATAACATTCGTCAAGGAGAATCTACCCAACAACGCATTCCAACCTCCACGTTCAAAGTACATGAACAGTATAATAATCAACCAGCACCGAATGATTTAGGCATCGTCTATCTTCCAACACCAGCCAATCTCAATCGTAACAATCCTATGAATAACTTACTTTATCTTAAATGAATGACAGTTTAATGGACATATACGGGAAGCTTGAAGAAATTGAAGTAAAGTCATCCTAAAGTGACCTCTTTCGTAATTTAATTTTTGCACTAATCATTTTTTGGATCTAATCTACCCACTATAAGCGTTCCTATAAATTCTGTAATTGATCTTTGCTTTTTTACCAAACTAATTTAAAACTTTTCACAGAGTGCGTTCAGCTGATAGCGCTTCCAAGTAGAGCTGACGCTTCAAAAAAATTCATTATGATCTCAAGCAGTAGCAAGTGGTTGGGGATACACTTCTCAGCCTAATCCTGGTCCAGCTTGCTCTGGAGATTCAGGTGGACATCGTGTCGTCAGTGGAAAGGTGGTAAATGCATATCAATTTAAATCAAGCCACCTACGAAGACAAAAAAGGAAAAATTAGTTTCATAACATACGTATCTTTCTGTCACTCTTGTAAATGTGTGATAGGAATTCGGTTCTATTTCTTTCTCCTTTCTGTTTGGTCGTGTACAGATGGTAAAATTAGAATCTTATCTATCTGATGCAGTTGAGGCTACCTCGAATGTGCCTCAAGGGTCGCACTTAGGTCCGCTTCTATTTTCAATATTGATTAATGATCTTCACACTAATATTATTGTATTATTATTATAATATTTGTTGATGACGCTAAACTCTCTGTTAAAGTTACGGCAACCTCGGATTGTCAGGCTCTCCAATCTCTTGCATCTCTTTCCTAAATAACTGGTGTATAACAAATTTACTCACTTTAAATATTGCCAAATGTGGTATAATTATTTTCACCAGATCTATAATTCCTATGGATTATATATGACTACAAGCTGCATGATAAAAGTTTTGCTCGGGTTTATGAACTTTCTGATCCAGGTATTATTTTCGGATCATCTTTTACTTTTGATAAACATCTTGCTAACGTACTGTCCAGAGCCTACAGATTATATATTAATATAAAACTTTGGTCCTTCCTCAACTATTATATGGTTCCAAAAATGGAGACCCTATACCCAGCAAGCATCTTCTGAACTCTTCTTAGCGTTGAGGCTTAATATTCCGATGCTATCTACTGAACATGATGATACCATGGTCCAACTAGTCACAGGTCTGGTTGACATCTATCAGTTACATATTGTGTTATCAGGGGGTATTAAGTGTGATTCTATTATGGACTTGTTTGAATTTAGAAACAGTAGTTATGCCTTGAGAAGCCATAGAGTGATCCTAGCGTTACCCAAAATTATGTATTCCATTCAGTTGTATTCCACCTTTAAAAGCTTTGGAACTTATTGCGTAATGAACTAGCAGAAGCTCACTTAACCATAGTTTAAGTCACTGCATCGCTCAATATATATGTTTTTCTTTTGTTTATAATATTTGTATAGGGTCCTTGCCCGTTGAATAATAATGACAATGCAACGCCTCATTCAATCACCTGGTACTTAGCAGCATCGGTGAATTTTTTTGCTCATGCATTGTTAGTTACACTAAGTTCTTAAATTCGGTAATTCAATACGTACCACTAGGTTTTTAGTACGGACCTAGGGTGTCTCATATGAACCACACAACTTTTGGTATGAGCAAAACACCTCTCTTAAAACAAAATAGAAACAATTTTTGGTTATGAATAAGGATGTACGTAAATTATAAAATCTCTGTAACTTATTTGCAAAAGTCACATAAATATTCGTCTCCTTCTACAACTGCACAAATGGCATTAGCCCATTGGCGATAAGAACGCTTTTCTTTGGCTTATTTAACTGTTTTGCAAAGTTCCTTTTTTTTTCAATGATTCAGCTTCTTATTTTCTGTTGGTAGATGTTTCCAAATCGTTTTTGTACGGTGAATTAGATGCTTTTCTTCCTGTATTACCGGTTTCTAATCTAATACGAGGTAGAAGATATAGTTGTTGTGACGATACATAAGGGGATAAAGATGCTCCAGCAGATACATTTACTAAATCTATCGAATCTTTCAATGAGATGGAATTTTGATCTACTTCAATTTGATCGATTGACAGATTTTGTTCCAGCAAACCACCGTCTCGAGAAATATCTGCCAATATTAATGAAATTAAACATTGGACTTTATTCATAGAGATGCTGACCATAGGATCGCTCATTGCTGCAACTGGTTCAGATCCATCGACACCAACAGTTTTATCGGTCGGGGATTGTGGCTTATCTGGAAAATATTCACTATTCGATTCCGGTGGATTTTTATCGTCGATGTCAATGATTTTTTTCAATAGTAGATTGTGGTTCATCCATTGGCTCAGCTTCAGTATCTTCACAAAAAGTCCGATCTGAATCATAATTATCACTTTTAAGAGCGGGGATAGCTGGTGGCAATTGGGCAGTGTATTACACTTTCCTGATAGGGAGGGTGGACCTGTTCAGTCAATCAATGAAATCATGGTCGTGAAAAACATTTCTATCCACTGGCCAAATCCCAGTTACACGAAAACCATTAATTGCTGGTTTAGTACGCTGCGCTTTTACATGCACGCCCAAATAGTTCAGCAATGTCGTAATGTGTAGATGCTTGATTTTTGATTCGTACGAATTGCCGGATTTCTTCAGTGAAGAACTTTTTAAAGGGACTCATGAATATGCGATCCATTGGCCGAATCTTGTGACTTGAATGTGGGGGCAATGATAATAGTTGAACATGGTTCTTACGGGCCAAATCGATAAGTTCAATATTTCGTGTATGACTGGAGTGTCCATCTAATATCAAATGAGCAGGACAAGCGTCAGAAGGTTTTACATGCTGTAAAAAATGCTTAAAATCATTGAGTGAAAAGATTAGTTTGTATCCAGCCTGATGGGTGGCATGCGTGTATTGAACCAATAGGACCTCCTCTCATTAGAAGTGGATTATCCCGCTTACGGGGGAAAATCATCATAGGCTGAACAAATGATCCGCTAGCATTCATACACAATACACAGATTACTGTCGAACCTCTTTCAGCTGACGTTACACCCTTAATTTGTCGCTTTCCCTTCTTGACAAGTATTTCTGGCATTTTTGAGGGCACCACCGTTATACCGCTCTCATTAATATTATATATATATTGTTAGGCGTATAATATTTGTACTTGTCCATAGCTTCTTCTCACAATGTGAAAAATCTGTTGGTACTTTCTTTGTTAAAGCCCTTCAGTCTTGCAATTGACGTGCCTGAGGATTGGCGAAAAAAAAGATCGGGATGGCGTGTTAAAAACAATCGCAACCAAGTTTTACCAGCCGACTGTCTTTCTTGAGAAAAGTTATGAGTCAAGTTATTTTTTTTGGGCCAATTGAAATGCCAGTAACATTATATCTCGTCGAGTCAATCCAAACCCAGCTTCCTCCATCCGAAGAACATAAAATGGACTACATGATTATAGTATGGACTACCAGCTCATATTTCAACTCCCTGTCGAGGTCCATATTAGAAATAGATGCTGCTATAAGATTATAATATTCTTGAAAAACATTAACGTTAGATACAGCTACGAGTTATGGGAACAATAACTGCTAATGCAACTCTCATGTGACAGTGTGACAAATTAATTAAATGATTATTTTCTTCTTTTTAGAGCTTTAAAATAAAAGCTTATTCTTAAAAGTGTTTTTTTTACCATTAATTTATTAAAGTGAAACTTTTATTACATTGCCTTAAATTTTTTCGTCCATCTATCGCATGTCGCATTACAGCCGGTCGCAGAGTAGGGGTAAAAGTGAAACGTCCTCGGCAGAACAGCCAAGGCCAATATGGCAGCGCCATGGCTCGCATGAGCTAACCTGCGGAGCACTTATATTCTCACTCATTCGTGCAAGTGCACCGCGGTATTCGTGTTTTAATCGTGAGTTGGATATCTTGTATACTATTGATTCTCCATTGTCATTCCATTATACTCTAAATCGAATAATTTTCTTAAAATTTACAGTTAAATGCCTACAATCCGAAAAGTTTCGCTTGCATCGTGGTTTCATAAAGCCACACAATTTTTTTTAATGCGTTTTACCTCATAATAACTCATCAAAAATGCGATATCACACGTCTCGTTAAAACTCAGATAAATGAAACTTCCGATAAGCCGCTGATAAGGCGTTTTCGTCTTACAACCAGACTTATGTATTCATATTAAACTGTAAAACTTGATTTATGTACATCCATTAGTCTAATGTTACAGTTTGTTTCTGTTTACCAACCCCTAAATTCATACCTAGTTATCTTTTACTTTCTCCTAAATCCTTTATCTTCAATATTTCTCTAAACTTTAATTTTAAAATATTCATTTTACGTTTATCATTTAAGAAAATTTAGATTTTTGATAACCTAAGTCACCCAAAACTCTTTTATACTATTAAACTGTTTTAGGTCATAAATTAGCTTTTTTAATTTTAGTACTCTGTTTTTACAATTAAACTTTTCCGACCATTTATGTAATACCACAAAATCAGTTTCTTCTAATACACCTTTAAAGAAGGCAGCAGGAGTACTACACTCCTACTAAATGTAAAGTAAATAACTCTAATTTTACTGAAAGTAAATTATAATTTTGAAGTAGTATATGTGACGCAAAACCGACGAAAGTTTCTTCATAATCAATACCAGCTTTTTTTGCATAAACCCTTTGCTTTATATTTAGATAAAAGCGACAAGGTCATTCACGAATAATTTTCTATAATATAAAGTTTTATCTGCAAACACGTTGTAAAGATTTATCAAGATGGAAATTTAAAAAATACCACAAAAAAATATTGAAGGACCCACCAACAACCAACACGTGTATCATAAAAAATCTTCACAATCTATAACTCAAAACCACATTAAAATTAAGAGAATATTTTCCACAAAAAATCAACACNAATGTAATAAACTTAAAATTAATACAGTAAAAGCTCTTTATCGTGGGGTATACGTTCCATAAATATGCCGCGAATACAGAAACCGTGGATATGGAATGGTAATTAGTATGGAATCATAGGGGATACGTTCGAAAAATTCGCAATTAAAATTAATCGTTATAATCAGCTTTAGTGATTTTTTCTTGTTTTGAATTTTGAAATTAATCCACTCGGTTACATCTTTTATAAAATTCGCCTCGGCACGAGCCAACAGTATTTAAAAGATGCCGATACGTTAAAAAATAACATCGAATCCTTTTCTATTTATTCGGTTAAGGTTAAGGGGATTCAGTAGTACACGCACCGTATAGTAAGAACATGCTTATCGGTTCTAGATATCATGAGTTTAATGTATGGAACAAAGGTCTGAAATTTTATAATAAGATAAAAGCTTTGTTCTAAAGCCTGTCGAAGACCATTTTTTAATTTCTATCGAAAATACGTGTCTTACAAGAATCA